TCTCTCTCTCTCTCTCTCTCTCTCTCTCTGTGCACTGTTCCTCACTGATTGTTTCTCTCTCGATGTCCTAGATCTACCCTGAATGCTACTACGGTGTGCCTTACTGATCCTGGGCGGCTATGGCCACCGGGGAACCTCTCCCCTCTCACCTGGCTATGGCTGACTAGCAGCCAGGCACTGCGCACGTCTCCCCCTTGTGCTCCTTCTTCGTCCAGGTCGCTTGATCGCACAAGCTCTCGCAACACCTCCACATTTCTGCGAAATGAACTATTGACCCTTTTGGCACTGTAGTCCAAGATATATAGCTGCAGTGGACTGTTTCGTTCCTGCTGCAATCGGTACTGGCCTCCTTCGGCCTTTGCCTTGCCAAATTGCTATTTTGGGAAAGTTCCCAACTTTCTTGTGAGGTTGCTGCAAAATTGTACTTTTGGGGACTTGACATGCTCCTACAGGTACTGTACGGTTGTAGCCAACCGGCCTGCGACGCCTGATCCTACAGGCCCTAAAATTCTAATCGACGGGGGCCTGGGACTGGGATGATGTAGGGCCCTGTAACCGGGACTGGGAAAGCTTGCAGTGTGAATCCATTCAATGTCTTAAAAAAAAAAAAAAAAGGAAAGGCACTGCTGTTGAGAAATGTACCCTACCCTCCTTAGGGTAGTTTTCTCAATGGAAAATGGTTTCCTGCCCAAACCAAAAGAGCCAAAGCACTATGTGTCTATTCAATGGGCAATGGGAAAGTTTCATCTTCGTTGTACCCGTTGAATAGCCCCCGGGACCCCGTTGAATGGTACAACGGGCCCTCCCCGTTGAATATTGTTCAACGGGGAGGGTGCATTGGGCCTCGGACACGACGTTGGACGCACGTGAACCCAAAAAAAAATCGTCCCGTTGAATCCCGTTGAATCCCCGTTGAATCCCGTTGAATCCCTGTTGAATCCCTGTTGAATCCCGTTGAATCCCCGTTGAATCCCGTTGAATCACCGTTGAATCCCGTTGGGAAAAAAACGGACGTCGTCCAAAAATTCCGAAAAAAAAACATGTTATGCAGAAAAATAAACTGAACAACTTTTGCCTCAGGGTCACATCGAAAATAAAAATAAGTTTTATTTATTTATTTACGTGTGTGTGTGAGTGTGTGTGTGTGTGTGTGTGTGTGTGTGTGTGTGTGTGATAGGGCGGGGGTGTGGGGGGCGACCCATCCCCTACCAACCAATCAATCAATCAGTCAACCGAAAGAGGAAAAAAAAGTCAAAAAAAAAAAGGGAAAACCCGCTTTTCTTGTTATTTTTACTTTTCCTTTTTTTTTTTTTTGATTGATTGATTGATTGATTGACTGGTGGGGGATGGGTCACCCCCCCAACCCCCGCCCGACCACACACACACACACACACACACACACTCACTTTGCGCCGAAGTTGCGCGGGGCCCCCGCC